CGGCTAAGCACCCGGCACTACTAAAGTAGTTCATTTTGTTAAATAATTCTGATTTCTCAATAATTCGTTAACGTAGTAATTACATAAAAACAAAAATACATTAAATTTTTATTTAATCGGTAGTTTTACCGAATTTCTAACCACGTCTTCTCCTATTAAAATTTTCCTGGTTAACATCACCACTTTTCATAAAAATATAGGGTAAATAACAACAAAGCTATATAGATTTTCTACTTCGGGAAACCTATGCCCACATAAATTTTCCTTGTTGCCTCTTGAAATAATTAGTAAGGCTATTATTAATATGGATAATACGTCATTTACAAGTTTAACTTATCAACAATAATATCATTTCTGTGAAGAAATTCTCCTTGTGGATTCCTAATTAGGCAAGAGGACTTATAAAACAGAGGACTTATAAAACATAGTCATAGAATAATTTATGTTTCTCCAAATCCAGTAGGATCCAAAATATATATGGAAAACGAATACAATTTACAAATTTAGTGTCCGTACAACGACTTATGTGAGTGATTTTTTCTAATAAATCTACTTGTTATTTAAACATATAGTCTTTAAGTTTGTCATTCATAGCTTTAAATATAAGATGTTTAAGTACGAATAGAAGTGATAGGAATGATGCTAATTCAAAGATTAGTTTTGAAACTGTATTTCTCCGATTTGCCAACTAGCACAAGGGTATTAAAGGTATCGCATCTATCTACTACACTACAACTAAAAAATGACAGATAAGATGATGAAAAAAATAAGATAACTACGAATCAATGTCTGACCAATTAAACAAAAGAATGGAGATGAAATACGCATACACTATGTAAACCAGCAATTCATCTTGTTCGCAATGCTGAAATTGCAAATCCTAGAGTACTTGATAAACGTGGTACGAAACGAAACTTATAAAATTTATATTAAATTTTTTTTATTTAATAGCGTTAATAGTTACTTAGTTATGGTGAACTGAGGAACGTGTCCTCCTCAATTAGCAGTTTTGAATCCGCAAATCCTCGTAATAGTGGGTAGTAGAAAGAAAATCAAGCTAGAACCAGCCAGAGGCATTTATAAAGACAACAATCTGGCCAATGCTAATGATATCGCCGAACGTGTTGAAGAAGGAGACGCTTAGAAACTTAAGCCTAATTCTGGCTAAACCTGGACATAGACACATCAGATGTTCTGGTCTCCCTTCTTCGAGAGGTGGTAGACACGCATTGCCTCGATAAAAAATTATAAATAATTGTACTGTAAAGTGTTAGAATAATTTTTATTAAGTATTTATAAATATACATTATAAAATTATTTACATATTATATTTGAATAATTTAGTGCCATAAGGATATACTAATATATTTATATATTGTTATGCATAGCCAGCTGAGCGCATTTTGTTCCACACTTCTTCCAATTCAGACGGATCCGAAAATTCATGCGAAGCAATTAAATTACGATATTTCTCGGCACTAGTTGGTTTGTGGAAATAAAATTCCTGACAATGTGTTAATTTTATTCCACTTTTAAGTGCTACAATAGCTAAATAAATATCATCAAATCGAAAGTGTTTGGTATACAGACTAGTATCATATAGTTTTTTTAGAGTGTTTTGTGATAAAATAAATGCTCCAGCGGTTACGTAGGGAGGCCATTTATTAAAAGGGTATTCTTCTAAAGATATATACCACTTACTAAATTTTTGTCTTTGTGGTTTTGATTGTATCACATAACCAGCGTAAAGATATTCTACCAATTCATTCTGGTCTATTGTGTTAATACTAGCATAACCTTTGTTTATATTTGCATTATTACGACAAAATTGTAATACATTTTTTAGTGATACATAATAATCGTCATCAACGAACATATAATACTGACTATGACAATGTTCCTTTGCCCAACGCATTCCCATCATGGTTTTAATGGTATTATTAAAATAAGCATCGATGAAATCTGCTTGCACAATATCGTTGTAATTTTTTGCTTCAACATTAATTTCTGCTTGCAAACTGTTTGTTGTTAAGCCAATCAAAAATATTCGTCTTACAATGACGTCAGAGAAGCGTTCCTCGAAACCCCATGTCCGACGGATGGCCTTACGTTGCTTTATATTTCCAGGTGCTGACTTTATTAAAAAAGTTATAAACGGAGATATGTTACATGTTTGTTTTGGATTATGTGTAAAACTGTAGTTGTAGAAATTTGTTGGGTTTTCATTTCGGAATTGTATTGTATCATTACCTATCGTTTTTTCGAAGCCACCGGACGGGTAATTAAATAACAATTCATACTCCAACTCGCACAATATTTTAAACAATCCAACATAATCCAATACAAGAACAAATATAACCAGTAACAAAAACTTGATTGCAAATCTTTTTGAATTCATTATACTATGCTGCCTACATAAAATTGACATTTCTTTAAAATTTAAAATTTAATGAATAACATAAACAAAAACATTGAGGAACTCCTTAGTACACGGAACGGCTGAATGAAACAAACTTTAATTTTTTCACAGGATGATATATATTAAAGAATATTTTTATAATACCATCACTCATAAATATATTTTTAGAATTTCATTTAATAATATGTCAAATTGACCATTCAAGTGTGGTGAATTAAAATTTTGTAAGTGAAGTTGTTAATTTGAATAGTATGGCAAGCTCGTTGGTTTGGGGGTTCGAGTAAATTGACTGCATTTATTTATATTTATTTTTATACTGCACTTATGTAAATATTTATTTATTCATTGCACTTATTTATTATTTTTGGTTTAAAGTTTTCAAATTTATTTATTTATTTATTAAACATCTTATCACAATGGTGATAAGATGACAATGGTAATACCTAATTTATATCAAGCTTGCCCTACTCGAAAATCTGGTAAATGCCAACATTCGCTGCCATACCGACATAATTTACTATTTACCTCAATTTACTATCAATTTACTCGAACTAAACAAATACTAAATAATTGTTTTTGATATAGATAAATGTGTGTGAGCATATTTTTGCTATTCATCAATAAAACAATAATATCCACATACTAGACTGCCAATCTTACAATTTAATTTGAATATTCATTAAAAAATTTAAATAATAAATTAAACAATATTAATAACATAATTTTTTTATGAAATACTAATTCACTACTAGACTATTTATGGCTCGCTAGTATATCTTTTCTGTTATAAATGTAATATGGCTGGGTACGCCTGTCGTTTTATTAAATTGATAAATCTATAGCCAGAATTTTTTGCAATTTATTATTTTTAATTTTATAAATACTTTTTAAATACTTTTATTATAAGAATTTTATTGTAATAATAATTTTAATAAAATATTATAAATGAAAATTTAAATATATTAAATTTATTATAATTATGTTATTAAAACATATTCGGAAAGCTGATCAACCAGTGCGGATGAAATAAAAAAATTAAATATATTATAATAAAGTTACAATAATAATAATATGGTATTGTTATAATAATAATTTTATTAAAATATATTTATATATATATTTATATATATTATATTATTTATAATATAATATAAATATAATATAAATAATAATATTATTTATTTATATATATTTATATATATAAAATATATATAAATCTGATCATTATAATTTATGTACATGTTAAGTTAGTCTTTCTAACGTTTTTTAACTAATTTCCCACACAATTTGGTTGGGACAAGGTCCCATTCCCATTTGATTCAGGAAAAGGGATTTGGCAACAGAGAACAAAACTCCCATTCCCATATGATTTAGAACAGCGGAATTGACAACAAATACATGGGATAGACTTTTGGCAACATTCTAGCCTACAGTGTAATTTTTCACTAACAGATAAAGATTTGCAGACAAAATTTTAAAATAATACATATTCGCATTGAAGTTATGCTTGTAAGTTTCCCAACTGTTTAAATTATCGGAGATTGAAAGTATCGAGTGACGACTGTATTTTATTTAAAAATATTTTACTACATCAAATGCTCATAAGATGCCTACTATATATTTTAACAAACCATGTCCTAATATTAGGTCACTATTAAAACTTAATTCCTTTTTAATGTTTTATTATCACGCACCCTTTAAATTAATTTATACGTACATATATGAATGCATATAAATATGTATCTAAAAATAAATTAAATAAATGTAAATAATACATTTTTTGAATAATGCAGTTTAGTCGTATTATTTTAATATGAATAATAATTGCACAAAGTAATTTCGTATATATATTTTTAATTCATATATATATAAAATATAAAAACAGTACAATACATTTTTTTTATTAATTTTGTTAATGTTTATGAATATGAATTTTATTTGATAAAGATTTCAATAGTGAGAACTTTAAGATATATTGTGTTATTTATATAAATATATAATATTATGAAATTAAATATTATTTTATGTATATAAATCTAACATTTTGCAATATTTTTATTTCAGATTATTTTGGATTGTCACTGTATTTGCTTTATGCTGGAATTTAAGTCAAATATTTGTGTTATTAATAAACCGATATTTTTATGATTCCATAAGTATTGGAATAGAAACTACATACTTAGATTGGGAAAATATATTTCCTGGTATAAGCTTTTGTTTAACTAAACATAAGTCAAGTACTGAAATACTTCAATTAATTAAGAAACAAAATATTCCTTATCAAGTTTCACAAAATAATTTTGCGAAAAATATAAATGATTATCTTTTTATAAATCCAAATAACTTAAATGTCAAAAATCAATACTGTGATGGATTAAATGCCACATGTGGAATTGATATACATCTAGCAAGAAAGCTGGTAAATTAAATATTTATTTAATTAAATAATCAATAGATGATCAATTTAATATTAGAAATATAGTATTTTTAATATATCCACATAGATCTTAATAAAAATTATTCAAAATGTAATTTTTCTATTTCAGCTGCTCCCCAGATCTTGCCATAGTTTTATGAAAAACATAAAGTTCAGAGGCAAATCCTACAACAACTGTAGCAAAATCTTTAAATTTCATGAATTGGAAATGGGCTATTGTTATTTAGCAAATAACATCATTGATTAGTAAGCATATACAATTTATATCAAAAGTTTAAAAAATGCTGTAAATGATTAGATATGGTGAAAATAAATATATATAATTTTGAACCGAAGCAAAAGGCATAACGTACTCGCTAATACATTCATTTCTGGTTACCATATAAAACCTATAAAGGGCACAACAGACCAACAAAATGTTTACTATGCAAAACCTAGTTATAGTGCTTGAACTCATCAAGTAATTTTTGTTGTATTTAAAATATGTTTTGTTTTATTTTGAAATTCTATAATATGCATATTATACTATACTTTACTATATTATAATATTATGCTATATTATATTTATACACAATATTTAATATGAAAACTTATTTATATATAACAGATAGAGCACGATTATTATCTAACTCAGGGCTGTCCAAAGTACGGCCCGCGGCTAATGTTTGTGCGGCCTACGACATGTTTTTAATCTACTACAATTACGTAAATTTTCTTTTGGTGTACTAGTAAAACCACATTATTTTATTTTTATGGTATAACAAATAAATTAATTTAAATTGATAAAACGAAATTTAACATTATAACCGACTTTATAACGATATGATGTATTTATAATAACAGCTATGAACAAATGTATTTGATTCTGCGGCCCTCCAATCTATACAGTAATTTGTATTAGCCCTGATCTAACTGAATATTAATAATAACTTACAAAATTATTTTTAACTTTTTAAAATTTTTTTTAGTGGTTCAACGCACAATTTACCATTAAAGTATTACATATCAGAAAAGAAAAACCTTTTCGAAGTAATGTTAAAAAGTGGATCTTTTTGGAAATACGAGGTAACTAAAAAATTTGTACTATTTTATATATTCGCAAACTATCTGAAATATAATTTTTCTAGATGTACGTACATAGCCATATAGACATTCCATATTTTAATACAATTAGTATTGATTTATCTCTTGACCCAATGGTTAATTGCTATAAAATTGAAGAAGTTCAAAATGATATAAATGTGGGTAGGGAAAACCCCAGTAAACGAAAGTGCAAATTTCCTTTCGAAAAACTTTACGATTCAAACCATCCTTACAGGTATGAAATATTTATAAATACTAGAGATAATCAGACGTAACCGTAAAGTGATAAAAGTTTCGGTATGTTGTACAATTGAACTGTTGAAAGTAGCCAATTTTGTTTTTGCTTCTTTTGATTTATATTAAAATATAATAATGCTAGAAAAAACACTAGGCAGTAATATGAATCAGTTGAAGTTTTACTGAATACTGAAAAAATATTACACCTGATATTTAAAATAAACAAAACCATCACTTCACCAAGCACATCTGAATATCGTTATTATTTAATCTTATTGTAAATGTAGTCTTTTATTCTATCTTTAAGCAAATTTATTTTAAGAATGGAATTCAATATACAATATATGTACATAGCACATATATAAGTAAAACAATGGTATTGATACAAAGTAGATATAAATAATAATATAATAAAAAAACACAATAGTTAGATATAACTTTAATACCTTATGCTTTGTTTTCACTATGTCATTTTAAATGACAATTATAATTGACTGGTGTGTCAAATCCGTTTTCATTACATGAAATGAAGGCGAATATGACATCATATGACTACTAATTTTCATTATACTGACAATATTCGACATTGAAAATGACATAGTGGAAAAGAGGCATTAGAGATACATTTATTTGAATTTGTATCAATTTTTTTTTTCTAACGCTATGTTTAGACTAAGAAAAATTTATATAAAATTATACTGAACAAATTAATACCACACTTTTGATGAAATTGTTAAAGTTCTAAAACAAGATGTGACTAGAGTTTAGACTGTCAGTGGAGTGAAGCATTACAAGTATAGTAGATCTTTTCTGTTAAAAATTGATCCTAACTGGATAAAAGGTTTTAAGTTTTTCTCATAAAAGTCAGAATAATTTCCAATGAAAATTTTCTACGGGAATAGAAGATACTACTAAATGCGTTCAGTATGACGCATTTAGTAGTATAAATATATAGTCTAATATTATTATGAATTCCATTTCGCGTATTTATATTCAACGTTGAATCAAAGATGTACTATGGGAGTACTATAAAAAACCGCATCTTAGTTGCCATCAACAAATGATTGAGGTAATTTTTATTAATTTGGTGGCTTTAGCAAATATAAAACAAATAATTGTGGAAAAAAAACTACAGACTTTACATTTGGATAGCGTTTTTGTTGGACCCTAGTACTTCGTTTAAGACGTAGCGCATAACAGAGTTTGAAATGTATTTAAAGTAACATATTACTTGGAAGATTATTAAAGCCGTATTCTCCAGTTAGATTTAAGAATAGGAGTAAGTATATATACATTACATGCTGCTCATCAACATTAATTATAAAAATTTAGTTTTAAGGACAATTTGAAAATAATAAAAGTTAAGTTTAAGTTTATTTTTTTGTTCCAACGCTTTGTTGAAATACCGATTATTGAGAAATCCTCTTGTCAGTTTAGCTATTAGAACATACAGCAGTTTATAGAACTCTGTAAAAGCACTCTGTAATGGTTTCAACTTCTACATTGACTTCGCGTATACACTAGCTAAACTTTGGTAGGATTGTTACATACACTCAAACTTTATCTCTAACACGTGCTTTTTTCATTATAACATAAAAATAATGGTAAAGTTTTAGGTTCGCGATATAATTTTAATACTTGTATTAATATACTTGTATTAGAATATGTAAATAGATTTTAAAATACTTTTTTTTTAGTTTTTCGAATTGCATGGCAGTTTTAAGGAAAAACTTGGAGATGAAGTACTGTAATTGCACACTTTCTTATTCACCACCAAAATGTGAGTACAGTTTTATACAATAATTATATTTATACAATTTAATTCAATAAGACATTCATTTGCTATTTATTTTCGTAAATAATATAACTTAAATATATATACTTTAACACACAATTAAAAAGTTTTGTTTTTATTTTTAGTTTAAAGTTGTCTAAAATTACAGCGTTAACAAAATATTCCAGTGGTAGTTATTAACTATTTTTTATTATAACATATTTCCTTTTGATTATGATTATTCTATTGCCAATACCTTTGTATAGTAAATAAAATATATAAGTCTTTTAAAAAAGGGTTAATAAACTAATCAGGTGAGTTTTTATTTACGTTATTTATAAAAATCAATAAACAAATTAAAAGTTTTTATAAGAATATAACTGTACATAAAGAGAAAATTTATTAAAAAAAATATATCTATATATACAAAATTAAATTATAATTATTAAGATCAAAATATTTTATCTACAAGTATTAATAGAAGTTCTTTTGTAAATTAAAAATTAATAATTCTGATAATTAAGTTCTTTTTAATTTCAAATTCACTTTAGCAAATTATTAATTTCCACTGAAGATATATATATATATATAAAATTACTGCACTTTTTCAGGACTTACGAATGACAGAGATCTATTTAATATTGAACATAGCTTATTTCTACGCTACCACAATAACAATACCAACATTACAAATGTTTTTGAATTCAACAAAAAGTTTAAAAAGTATTTTTTACTATATTTAGAGCTCTCTTTTTTTTAAAATATATATATATATATATGTCTATATAATTAAAACACACAAATAAAAAGAAAACGGTTAAAAAAATCTGATTTGTGTGGTTTTCACAAAATATCTTAATAAATATTTTATAATTATTTAATCTTAACTAGTGCTTCAAAGTGTTCGACCATACTTCAAATGTTTCAAAATGTTCGAATTTTTCAAATATATTTGAGCTGCTCGAACAACAAAAATACTTATGTTTCTTTTTATTTGTTTTATACAAAAAAACAATAGCAAACATTCCAGCACCATTTCGTGTTTATACAAGCACGCTCTCGAATATTAAAAAAAGTTCCAAGAACAGCCGTGTCTACGTCCTGGAACCAATCGTCGAGCTCCACAACAAAGTGCCGTTCACCACAATCAAAAGAGACTACTCAAGCGGACTACCCAGCTGGCTAGAACAACAACATTAAAATGCGTACATTTTTGAACAGCTCGAATAATATTTGAAGTTCTATCTTAATACAAAGTATTTTTTTTTTAATTTACTATGGCAGTCAGATAAATTAAAGTATATAATAGGACATAATGTAATCAACAATTAAAGTTGAATATTGTTTAAATTACAATGAATTCAAAGTTTTATAAATAATGATTTAAAATAATATTTGTAGTATAATAAAATAATATAAAAACCATTTAAATTTTGCGTGTTTATAAATTTGACGATGAATCCACAGCTGATTCAGATACTCCCACTGATTTGTTGTCACAAACTGCACGCATTTGCATTATTGAAGATAATAAATTTACTATTTCTGTATCGGTTAAATTATTCTGACGCATCAAATCCTTGATAAAATCAATTCTTTCACTTTCTAGCTTCGAATGTTTAAATATGAATGGAATTTGTGTTATTAGATTATTACGACATGTAGTATTAATTTTTGACTTGGCGCATATATATTCAATAACTGAATTCAAATTTAAACGATCACACACTACGGTTGATAAATTTTCCTGTATTGCATGATCCAAAAAATCTTTTGAATGATCTTCTGATAATATATCTAAAACGTTGGTTCTTATTGTTTGATTTGAACTCATGTAATTTGAAACAAATTTTGCCAAAACATTTGAAAGGCTTACTGCCGAATTCGTTTCTGTTGAAAAATATTTTTCCAATACCGTTTCCAATGGAAACTGTTGAACAATTGTATTTAGGGCATCTTCAGGACAAGGCATGTTCTCATTTGCTTCATCTAATAAAGGTGGAGAAATTTTGTCATTATCAATATTTATAACATTGTTTGTTGAACTACTATTGGCCTTGTCGGTAATTTTATTTTTTTGGCCACTAATTGTTTGTAGATTTTTCATTTCATTTAAGCTCTCGATTTTGCTTCGTCTTTTAAGTTTACTGTCGGGAGTACTTTGAACTTTTTCTAAAAGAAGACAGCTATAAAAAAAAAAATTAAAAAAAACACATTATCAATAATATTATATATACTAACCGCTTAGGTCTGTTTTTATTATCTTCAGGATCCTTTACAAATTCTTTTGTAACTGATACAGGTGGATCATGGAAACTAACTCTTTTACGTTTATACGCAGGTGATTCTACAGATGCTTCTTCAAGACTATCATTATGAAATTTACGTTTTAAAATACTGGCTGATGGACTTGCTGTAGGAGACGGAAGTCGCTTTGAAAATACTAATAAATCATTTGGTTGCTGTTGCATTGTTTCCGCAGCAAAAATTTGTGCTATTGGTGTTGGTAAATGTAACTCCGTTTTTTTGTCTTTGTTAAGTAATTTATTTATGGGTGATGAAGTACTATTTGGTAAAAAAGAATCAGTTCTTTTATTTCGTATCATATTTATTAATTGAGCGCCACGACCAGTTAAATGGGAAGATGTTTTTGGACGTAAAGTGGGGCTGCTTGAATTATTAGTTAATTTTCTATCTGGTGGTGATGACTTTAAGAGATAAAAAAAGAAAGTAAGAAATTTATAAAGTAATTAATATTTATTTAATATACCAATGGTGTCATTTTTGTGCCGATTTTCTTAGGTGAAAGTTCATGACGATCGATTTGATTAATAGGTTCGCCATCTAAAATGAAGTCACTATCATTTGTTTTATCAAGCCTAAGAACAACAATATCTTCTTCAGTATTTTTATCTTTATCAGTTTCATTTTCGTCTTGAGTATCAGGAATTATAATTTCAGTGGTAGGAGTCAAACTTTCACTTTCCTCTTCATTATAATTATTTTTTTCTTTAAATTCCTTACTCGCCAATTCAAGTTGAGTTGTTAATGCTTTTAAAAATTTGAGTACATTAAATTAATATACTTATATAAATGAAACGTACAAATTTATTATACTTACATTTCCGACCTCTCAATTTCACTTCAGGTTCAATTTGTTTTGCTGCCGGCAACTGTCTAAGAGCCTGGATTTAAAAGGTAATAATTGTTTAAATTTTAAAGTCGACACATTGGAAAATGAAAACAAGACATATCAATATTATAATTTCAATAAATTAAGTTTTTATATATATGCAACATACCCTTGTACGTAGAACTTTGGTGATAGATAGATTACCATCTGCCTTTGTAATGCTTGTAGTTTTATCATTTTCAATTTTTTCAGACGAAACAATTGTCTCGCTTTCATTATTTATGGGCTCAGAATCAAAAAGGTCTATTGTTGGATGATTATCTGTTTTTGTTAGGGATTTAGAATATTCTATTTTATCATCTGTTCCGCTTAACACAACTTCCGACTGTTCATCTTTAGCTAAAACCACCTTTTTCGGTGTCCACGGTTTTATAAATGAATCCTGCGACTGACTTAAATCATTGTACAATGCAGGTATATCTGATTTTTCTTTAAATCGCTCTTTCTGTCGTTCTGTTAATTTATCGGGTTCAAAATTCCATACATTTGGTATAATTGTAAAGGTGTCATCATTAAAAACTTCTCTTAGCTGCTTAACAAAACTTTTGTTAGATATAATTCTAGTCTTGTCCAAAACAGCATTTTTCCATTCCTCAAAATGATTGCTATCGATTTGTCCATTTGATGCTAGGCGCCTTATAGAACCACAAATTGACTTAAATAAATCAAACACCGTGGATATTTGATTTTGTTTAAGATTGGTAATAATCATACGCAGCGTACTTTGTATAATTAATAAAGATTTTGGTGTTAGTTTCTGTTTTAACCCTTTATCAATTAAAGTCAATAGGTCCTTATAATGTTTTACGTTCTCATTAGATTTATCATATGTTAGTATAGATGCATAAGATTCGCATAAATTTGCAAAACATTCTGTCTCTGAATTTATAGTTAATATTTCATCTAAAAGTACTTTGATGTCATTTAATAACGTCAAACAATTCATTCGACTTTGAATTGATATTAACATTTGATTCCATGTGCTGTAAAATGTATCATTAAAGCATGAAGACGATTTTCCTCCAGCAAATGCAACACACATTTGTAATGGCCATAAAATCCAACGCTCTATAATGCTTTGACTTTCATTGTTGGGTTTGTTATTAGTCAAATACTTAGCAATATTTTTGGATAATTTTTGCCACACCAATAATTTTGTTCTGAAAATTTCATAATCCGCCTCGTCATGTGCTTTAATAATTGATTCCAATAATTCTTCATATTTATTTAAATCTTCTGATTTGTTTTTCGAAAATTGTAAAGAAAATGTTTTTTCAATGCATTGACTTAATATAGCTGGCGGTGCTTTTGTTTGTATTTTAAACAACATACTTAATATGTTTTTTGCTAAATTTTGGTAAGCATCAAGCTCGTTTGCCAAAAAATTACTATTATTCAAAATACTTTCTTGTCTTATAATTGTATTCAATGCTACCACAATCAGTCGAGGCTGTGCATTCAAAATAAAACCAAATTCCTCCCATATGTTTGGTACATTCAAATTTGTTCTGCACAACACAGCAGTTAATACATAGTTGAAAAAATATGTCAATAATAGATAATCAGTGTCTGATTTATTTAAATCAGTTTCTAACAAAATGTGTATAGCTTCTATAACAGATTTAATTATAGCTTCGATATTTTGCTCTAAAAGATATGGAGTTATTATAGGTAGAGTACTAACCGTCTCTAATTTGGCATCATTTAAAAGACGCTCCAAAAAATCATTTGTTTCAGTTGAAAGCAATTTTGCTAGACATGGAAGTCCTAAACTTTGTAACGTACTGTAGTTATGAAGTATACCTTGTGTTGTTTTCTCCACTGATCCGAAGCAAAATGTGAGGAATGATTGAACAATTTTATCATAATATTTGTCTATACGGTCCGCAATACAAGTAATTAAATACCACCAAACTCTCAGTTTGACTTCTGCCACATCTACGGATTTTGATTGCGTAGATTTTAAAGGTATACAAATCAATTTTATACGTCTGTCAGTTAGTTCATTATACTCATAAAATATTTGTATAAGTAAACGCCAGCATGCAAAGGCTTCGCTTCGTATATTTGTTTCATTTTTACGAAATCCCAACTCAACAATGGCAAGGTAACAATTTATGGTAGCTGCTCCTCTAAGTATTTCTTTATCTAAAATACGTATAGCAATGCACCAAACTCTATGCCAATACTTATTGCGATCATCTCTTAATTTATCAATACGTGATGGTAGCTTTTCTACAAAGTTTTGTTTTATATCTGGCCAATGAATGCTTTTATGTACTATGGACATATTCAAGTGCTCCAGACATTGTTCAAGTGCGGTAACAGCACTGGCCTGAATAGTAATATCATTATCAAACGCTAAATCGATAATTTCTTCAAAACAAAAATGCACTAATTCATCCGTAAAAACTTCATTAATTTGTAACCCTTGTGATTTACAGGTGCTTTTAATTAAATCCAACATCTAAAACAAAATGTTATTTTTAAAATAAATCAATATTGTATATTGAATATTTACTTTATAAAAAAAGTGTCGTTGATCATTTTCAAGGATTTCTTTAGCTGATGAAAAAACACTAACGAACGCATTTTTAGGATTAACATCCGCCATGTTTTCTCATAAAATTACTTTTTATTAATTTATTTATTATTTTAAAATTAGAAACGCTGCTACTTTCCCGTTTTGGTAAAAGGTGCAATAACCCGCCAAAAACCAAGCGACATAACATAAAGGCGCAAAAGTAGCAATGTTATTATTATTAAATGAGAAGAGAATACAGAAAGAAGTCAATATTTTAAAATATTTCTTCTTTTGATAAGAAAATGCATGCTATATGTATTGCACTTATTTATTATTTTTGGTTAAAAGTTTTCAAATTTATTTATTTATCAAACATCTTATAATATGTTCACAATGGTAATACCTAATTTTTTCTAATTTACCATACTCGAAATTCTAGTAAATACCAATATTCGCTGCCATTTCGACATAATTTACTATTTCCTTCAGTTAACCATCAATTTACTTTAACCCGCTCAGTTAGCAACATCTACTACAATAAATACATATTATACGTTAATGTCATTCAATACCACAATACATAATTTTTCGTTTTTCTTTACTCATAAATTGAGACAAAACTGCTGCACCAATCAATATATATATTTTTATAATATTTTATTGAATATTAAATTAAAATAACTTCATTTTACTATTTTATTAAATAAAAAATGTTATATTTATCATTTAATTAATTTATAAGTGTTAACAAAGTAAACTTCTCATTATAAATATAAATAATGGGTGATAGAAAACTGTCCCCGTACAGTTCAAAAACATACGTATGTGTTAATATCAAAAAATACTTTTTATAAGAATAAGGTATTCTTTGCTTGATGTATATGTTAATAGATACATACAACAAATGTTGTTCACTTCGTCAATGTCTTTATTTACAGCTCAGCTGTTGTTTGTTTACATTTTACATATAAAACATATGACACATATTTCAAATTTTGATAATTTCTCTTGTGGGAAATTTGTTTTTGAGGGTTGCATTCGATATTTTTCGCCTTAAATAAACTTATTTATTACTTATAAGCTCCTTTTGCCTTAAATAAACTTATTTATCAATTGAAAGATCATTTATATGAAAGATTTTTGTATGGTAAATCATCCTTTATGCTCCACAATGCTAAAGATTGTTAAAACAAATTTTAAAACTCGTGTAATGATCGCATTTCTTATCATTATCAGCTAGTTAAATTCCTATATTTTTACTATTGTCACTATAGGTTTTTGACGCAACTCGAAAAACAAATACTAATAAAATGCATATAAATTACACAAGAACTATTTTCCAACCTTTTACAAATAGCACCCGATGCATGATCGATCCCTTAGTTCACCTCTCTCTACGCCACTGGAAAACAAGTTGTTCGCATTTTTGCGTTTAGATATGACTGCACAGAACAAAGAAGAAATATTTGCATATATAAATATATGTATATATATACATATATATAATCTTTAATATATAATAGGAAGAATTATCACGCAAATATTTATGATTTCGTAATTTTCGTTTAATGAGTATTTTTTTTATATATAAATGTATATGAATAAACATATGTGCATATATATAGACTTAAAGGTATAATAAAAAGAATTATCATGCAAATATTTATAAATTTATTTAGATATGTAAATAAGAAAATATCCTTTGTCCATTTGAATTTCACAAAGTTATAAGTATGTACTTATTTACATATGTATAAGTAAGTACAGATATAAATTACAGTTAATAAAAAGATTCTAAAAAAAATAAAGGATATGCTTATTTTAATATTTTTGTACATATGTATGTGCAAATAGAAAAGAGAGTAAATATAGGAAAGAAACTTAAAACTGATAAAATTAAAATGCTTGTACAAAGTTGAATGTACTTAAATATTTCACTAGCGCATTTATAAAAGCTGATAAGATGATCGGAATTATTTGCACCCATTCGATGTGTACATCGTAATAATAATAATATATATATGTATATATATATTTACATGTACGCATGTATACATATCAGTTTTACTTAGTTGTGATAAGAAGAAATACGCAAAAATATTTAGCTGTAGTTCACTACAGTTGACGATAACCTATTCGAACTTTAATAAGAAAAATCAATGATTTTTAATTTGTTACAAGGAATGTGTAAAGTTTATATTGTATACATACATATGCATGTACTTTTTCACTCAATTATATGAACATACATACAAAGTTTCATTAACACGGCATAGACCCATGATCTCAACATCTTTAAACAATGTACATGCAATTCTTAATAAATTAATATTTTTCTTAATAACTGATACTAATAAATATATTGAAATTTACCACGACATATACCCATGCTCTCAAAAGGATCTACTTTTTAAATTTTTAATAAAATCATAATTTTTTATTGAAATAATTCCTCCCCCTAATTTTGCTTATGGATCATATGGTATAGTTATCGAAAGATCCATGATATCTATACTATATCCGAATGTCAGAATTCTTGAAAATTCATATCAACTTTGTAATTTTCAATCATTTGAATTGTTCAACTATTCATTTTCAGCTTTTCAATTTCAAAAAATCACAAATATTCTGAGAATAATTGCTATTTCCATATCATGAAATTAGAGTATATTAAATTTTTTCCAAAATTATTATTTTCATTATTATAACAATTGCGAACATAGAAAGCATAAAGGTTGAGTCTTTATTTAGTTAAAGTGCTCACCGCTGTCAATTTTTCAAAGTAAGAAATCTCCCAAGAAATTAATTTTTGATTGGTATAGATCAGGGGTGTCCAAACCAATACAAATCATTGTATAGATTGGGGGCTACAGAAACAAATACATACGTTCATAATTATTTTCGACAAAAATAAAAATACGGTTATAATATTAAATTTAGTTTTATTAATTTATCAATTTAAATTCATTTATTTGGTGTACCATAAAAATAAAACAATGTGGTTTTACCAGACGAGATTAAAAACATGTCACGGGCCGCACAAACATTTGCCGCGGGCCGTGCTTTGGAGAGCCTTAGTATAGATCAAACAAACATTTAATGGTTTTTAAGTGTCATCAATATAAAAATTTTTACACAAGTTCGTATTAATAATTATACTATTAGTTTATTATACTAGACACGTGCGCACTGCGTCCTCTGGTGACAAACTTAAGTAGATTAACTCTACTCCATATTAAAATTACGAGTGTTTATTTTTTCATTTCACCGAGAAAACATGAACAATGGGCATTAAGATGTTTGTTATTTTATCACTGCACCGATTACAGACTTACCAAGTTACCAAGCAACTTCTGAATGCTCCTGTTAGTGTTCTAGTTCGCCAAGATCTATAAAACGGATAACATAAGAGGAATTACAAAGACGTATACATAGATTAGGATGTAAATAGAAAATGATGATGAGAACGCAGGAAATTATATAACAGTAACAATAATTTTGGAATGAGTGAGATTAAAATTGAAGCCGAATAGGATCAAGATGGAGACAGTTATCCATTTCTATTGGACTTCTAATAAATCTTTGTTATTTGAACTTGTACTGGCCAATTCAAAAAAGAAACATTGGAATATTAAAATATGTGATTTTGACAGTTAAGAATTATTCACATTAAAAATTCGAAAAGGGCATGCTGTTAACCCTCTATATATTAATTGCAAAAAACGTAATTGATTTAAAAAAACTGAACCGTCAAGATAAAGTGCTATAAAATATTAAACAATTTTATCGTACACTTCTTTAGCACTTGTATTTCTTTATTAAAACCTCTTCACAATTAAATTCATATAATTTATTCTATATTTGCACAAAAATCTTATCAAATGTTTTTACGGCCAATCGCCTCACAATAAAAGTACTCAGAAAGAAGTTACTAACCTGACCTTAGACAATTTGTTATTATTTTATGCATTTATTTAATGGATGTGTCTTTAAATAGATATTTTAGTCAGATATAGTCGAATATTTTCAATATTGACCCAATTTACTAGAATTTTATTTAAATACAAAGTTCTTGTTCTTCTTATACTGTTTTCATGTTTTTTATTAAAAAACATAAACGCAAATCATATAAAAATTAAACGATTACATTAAACCACTGCGAAGCTGTTTTGCTATTATACATACACTCATTTACATACCTATCTACAATATATACAATATATGAAGAGATTGTGTACATATTTATTATTAAATGTATTAAATTTTTATTGTATTAAGTGATTATTTGAATTAATTATGAATGCTGTATAAGGTTTCAACAGACTTATCAGTACTTAGTCGTCACTTCCAACTTATCATTGACTTGGCGGTGTAACAATTCGTTTAAAATAAATTCCGTGTTTTTTTAAAATAATAATATATTTTTAAATTCTCAAAGTAAGGATAATAAAAATAATATTAAATAAAATTATTTTAAAATAAATTCACAAATGTGAAAAACATACATATATTTATAATAAAAAAAATTTAATTAAATATAATATTATATTTTAAAATAGAGTTGCCAAAAAATAGAGCTGCTGCCAAAAAAATTTTAAAAAATATTAATATATGTATATATAATTAAACATATAACTGGATGTCCTTCACATAAAAGTTCAATAACTTCCTTGTTCAAAGACTTAAATTAAAACTTTAAAAAACAATTTTTTTTAAATTTAAATTGTACAGAATATTGAATGCAAGCCTCTGCTACTCGATAATAAAATCAAAATCATGTAAATATAAATATAAATTTTATAAAAATATACGATTTGCGACTTGATCATTAAGGAGAGTATAACGAATGGATATTGCTAACTTAAGAACTGAGCGAACGATCTGTGGAATACTATTCCAGTGAGTTGCTGTGTAAAGTACCGAACAGGTTTTAATACAGTTTTTCAATATTGTTTGTGCACAAAAGTGTTTTCCGCATAATGTTGTAGAACTAGTTTAATTATAATTATTCTATCAAGCAGCACTTAGATTATTAAAATTTTCATTTTCAGACGACGCAAATTTGTACTGCTTTTGAAAAAGTTTAACAACAAAGAACACATGCCAAATAATCTTAAATCGCTTTAAATAGAAAAATATAGATTACCAATCGCAACCAAAACAAAAACATAAGAGTACAAGTCGTGAAACAAAACGCAAATAA